AGTTCTTAGGAAAGAGAGCAAATCACACTGTTGTAACCCTAAATGCTTCAGGAGCAGCTACTTTTAGATGTAGCTTGGCATGTTTCTAATCAGAGGGCTCCTTTATACAAACAGCCAAGTCCATTCATTAATGTGTACATAATAAGACACTGTACACATGAAAACATTCAGCTCCCACCAGCAGCCCCATAATAATAGAATCATAGGAGTGGAAGGCAGAAAATCCCAGTAGGAGTTCTAGCCTCTTCTATGCCTGTGCATGGTCTCTTGTGCTCTGTCCAATCCAATTTTGAATAGTGGTAGTGGTGGATCTGGTTTAGCGCAAGGGCAATAAACTCTGTAGAATATTTCCATTAATGTTCTATATGTAGGAAGCAAAAAAAAATGCATTTCATTTAATAATCCCTTGCACAGTGTACTATAATTTCAAAAATGCTTTATAAACATCAACTAATTAAGTCTTCTAATGAGGGAGGAAATTTAACATATCTGTTTTTTATAGATGAAAAACCAAGGCATGTAGAAGTGTCTCTTGCCCAACGTTAGTGAGTCAGTGTGAGACCAGGCCGGGGAACAACAGTTCTCCTGACTCTCCGTTCTGGCATTAACCACTAGGCCATGCCTCACCCTGGGATCCCATATTGGAGATCTCCTAGATTCCTGAAGAGCCCATAATCAGATATCACCACAATGATGTGTGTTCTTACCTGACATGGTGGTGCTGGCCATGGGGCAGGGATTATTTGGGGGATGTCTGTATGAGATGAGATCAAAAACACGATTCCCTGAGCCAGGTGGTTGCTTAATTTTTTTAAATGATGTGATTAGATCCCCACTCTGTTGAATGAATTACACACACAGGTGTGGAAAATGGGTTTTTCGCTGCTTCTGCTGGCGTGCTCAGTGTGAAGATTGCCTGCCACTTCTTTATTGGGGTTTACAAGAAAAGTCAGCTAAAAGAAATCGTCAGTACATGGGGTATTGTTACAGGTAGACATTTTGTGAACTGGGTTACTCTGTGTTTGACTGGTGAGAGACCCTTGGATGCTGGAAGGAAATGATGCTCCAAAGAGAGTCACTGTTCATGAATACACAGGGCCAGACCCATTGATTTAGGTCAGTGAAAGTCCACTGCTCTCAGTAGAGCTCTGCTGATTTGCACCAGCTGGGATCTGGACAGTAAATCCACCTGGGTATGTTCAGATTAGAATGTCAGTTCTGTGGAGTCTTTAAATCAGCTGCTCTGTCTCTACATCCTGGGTGCAATTTAAAGCTGACACTCCCTGTCTTCCTCCTTTCATTTTTCTCTCCTTGTTTTCCCTGCAGCTGTCTCTGCAATGCCAATTTTCTGGCCCTTAAGAAAGAGCTCATCTTACTTTCCTGCACCGCTTTAATATTTTTACCATCACTTGTATCAAACATGTAGCACTTTTATGTAGAACTCAAAAAAGAACTGAGGTTCTAGCTCTCGTCTCTGAACTGTTGGACTCTAGTCCACTAGTTTGATGCCAAAGCAGGAGGAACAGATGTTTGGATGATTCCAGATACCAAACATGTTTTAATGAGCACAACTAACTGACCTAAAGGGGTTGGATCAGAGAGTGTCTTTTACTCTGAGCACAGTTTATTTTGGATTAGACTGTTGCAGTTTTCCAGTGTGGCTGCTTTACAAAGCCGAGGTGTAGTTCTCCCTCCATTTTGTCAGCTCAGTAGAACGGTGCTTGGATTGTAACCTCCTGTCAGTAGGAAGTTGGATGCAGCCCATAAGAGCAAATACATGTTAGTGGCCAGGGAACAATTGCTGAGTAAAGAGTGCTGAACCCCTGGTGTGAGCTCCTGAAGGGACCGGAAGTTCTTGAGAGTGGACAGAGGTGACCGAAGTCTGACTCACTCAGCCACCCCACTGCAGGGCAGCAAAGGCAACGATGTAAGGATGCTGCACAGGAAGCAGCTGAAGCATTGAGTGAGAGTCTGAAATGAAACAGAGCAGGGAGGTTTTTGTGCTGGTCTGTATCACTGTGTGAGAGGGGTGCTGTAATACTGCTGACAGTAATAATCTCCAGCATCATCTGCTTCAACCCGGCTGATTGTGAATGTGAAATCAGTGCCAGACCCACTGCCACTGAACCGATCTGGGACCCCAGAGGGACGGGAGGAAGTACCATAGAACAGGAGCTTAGGAGCTTGTCCTGATTTCTGTTGGTACCAGGCTATATTGCTGCTGATGCTTGTACTGGCTTTGCAGTTGATGGTGACTCTGTCTCCTGCAGACACCAACAGAGATTCTGGAGTCTGAGTCAGCACAATCTGCCCACTGGCATCTGCATGTGAGATTAAAGCATAAATCCATGTTTCTGTATTAGTACATGATAGTGTAAGGATTTAACTTGTCAGAGCATTGTTATCATCCAGGATTTCATTTAATATGAAACTATTTCGATTCTGCTGTATATATAGACAGAGCATGTGGAAGCATATAAATAAGAATTGACATCTATTTGATAAATCATTCCTCATTTTTGTTCTGATGATATTCTATAGCTTATTGTCCATCTCTATATACATTTTTCTATTATTCTAATCTAATACACTTACCCTTCATAAAGAAAACTAGCACACAGAGGAGCAGAGCGTGTGACCTCATCTTGAGAGCTCCGGACTGACAGCTGCTGCTCAATGCACCATGATCTGTGACATGGAGCTGTTATAACCCCTCTGAGCTACAGGGAAATGCCTGGATATGCAAAATAAATATAAATATGCAAACTTCCCCTCCGTGTGGCCCATTAGCTAGATTTGGGTGCTTGAAAGCACTGATGTCTGTGGTATTACATTTACCATGAGGGTGGATTCTGATTTACTTGTCATGAACAGAGTCCTACTCCTCAAACAGTCCTACTGAAATCATTGGGTCTGTTCAAAGAATAACTCAACATGAGCCAGGTTGTCAGAATATGGTCCTAATTGAGGTCTGTGTTCAGGCTCCATAGTGGGGATGTGGAGACATTTCTCACTGAATGTAAAAGGAAACACGCTTGAAAAGATTCTTTAAGGAAAGTGACATTTACAGTTAAAAAGTCAGTTTGAATAAATGAGTCTTATTTTCTCCTCCCTGAGTCATCGGCATGAAGCCCTGTGTACTTCGTGGTAAGGTGGACCTGAATTCTGAGGCAGATCCATGGATTCTGGGCCGGTGGAAATTCCGTGGCAGGTGAAATAAAAAAGGGATTTTTTAATATATTACAAATAAAAATGAATAATGCAGGCAGAACAGTAACCCTTGGATTAGTTCCCCGGGGGCAGGCACTTGGCTATAAAGTTCTATATAAATAACTGAATAATGGGCCAAATCATGAGTCCGTTTTGGAGAATGGGAGTTTGCCTGAATGAGGACTGAGTAAAAACCAGAATAATGTAAACTGTAAGTCAAATTTAAAAGCAGCAAATTGGGTTGGCTGTAATTTCTGGAGTCATCTCATCGGTTGCATGTGAAAATCTGGATAGGTCCTGGGTGTTCATGGAAATGTTCACAAATCCTGAAAGTTTCATAGACTTTTAGCATGAAAATTGGCTCATGTAAGTGCCTTATTCCTCAGGGGCTGATCACCACTTGCTATTCACTAATCTCCTATTCGAAGGATACAGCCATCTGTACAGCAAGCAGAGAAAATACCCCATGATTCACATGACCACTCACCACGAAAAATGTAGTGCAGGGGAACCGTTTTGTATGATCCATAGGCTAAAACCTGTCTGCAGAAATCATTTGGAAAAGACTCAGGAACAATGAAAAACTCACAAAAGCCAGCACAGGAACAAACAAACAGGCTCTGGGTGAAATTCACCCTGAGCTGGGGTCCAGCCCAAGGCCTATGAACCATTAAAGCTTCACTTAAGCACTGAAAATGCTGCTTATGCTGCCTTGTGCCTGGGAGAATTTTACCCCAAATTTGCAATAAATAATATTCCCCATGACTAATGAGACTAGCTCTCGTAAATGCCGGGGAAGGAAGGATCTGAGGAGTTGGCACAGCAGTAGGATGTGTATGAGAATTTCTTACAACAGCTCAGCTATAATACTCACCTGTGGGCTGTAATACTTTGATCTCATTTGGTTGTTGGTTTAGTGTGTGGGTGCTGGGTGGGTGTCAGACTGGATTATTTGGTGGTCCCTTCTTGCCTTAAACTCTGACTATGACAGCTGTATCTACACACACAGCAGGCCAGGCTGCTGTAGGACTTTACTTTGCCCTTGTTCCCATTGAGCAGTGACACCGTCCGGAGAGCATGTCATGTTTTCTCGCTCTTTTCAATTGTGGAATCAGTCAGTGACCTTCCTGTTTTGATTTGCCATGAAGGTGGCAATGGCTGGACACCTGGTTGTGACACATACAGTGGTGAGCCCAAAGCGCTTCATGGAGAACAGGGCAGTTATTGTGTTGGTCTGTATCACTGTGACAGTGGCCAGTCCCAGCCTTGCTAACATTAAATGATCTCCAGCACTGACTGCTTCAACATCACTTACTGTGAGTGGGAAATTACTCCCAGACCCACTGCCACTAAGCTGGGGGAGGCCAGGGGCGCTGCGAACAATTTGTATAGTGGGGGGAGCCATTGAACCAAACTATAAGCCCTGTATATGATAGAACCACTCCAAGCGGCAGCATCCCAGCTCCCCCAGTTCCAGCACCTATGGGGGAAGCTGCAGCTTGGGGACATGCCTGAAGGGTCTAACACCCATTGACGTCAGTGGCAACACACTGTTAATGTCTCTAGGCCTCAGATCAGGCTCAAAGAAGCAGATTTCCAAAAAAGCTCAGCTCCCATTTGGGCACCTAAATATGGGCCACCCAGCCACTCCTATTGAGACAGGTATGGACAGGCTTCCAACAGACCTCGACATCCAACCTGCTGAGCAATGTGGAATATTTATTTTGTGCCTATATGGGAGATGATTTCTTTGGAAAAAAATGGCTTGTATTTCTTAATTTCTCTCATTATTTGTATTGCTGTCATGCCTCCTGGAGGCTCCAGTCATGGATCAAGGTGCTGCACAAATACTGCTTTTCCCATTCCTCCCCCATGCAATTTTTGTTGTAAAAGGATCACTCTGCCTATATCAATAGCTTTTGCTTAAAAGAGCCATGTGGAGTTAGGTTTTCTCTTCGCCCTCTGTGTCCAGACTAGAAATGACAGTGGAAGTAGTGGCAGAGAGTTCTGTAATTAACTTCCTCTTTCTTGTTTGTTATGAAATCTGTGAAGCTGGTGTTGCACATGCAGCTGTGACAAACGCTCAGCACTGTGCACTCACTCAGGGAGGTTTTTGTATTGGTCTGTATGACTGTGAAAGTGGTGTAGCCCGCTGAACCGGCCTGGGATCCCAGAGGGACGGGTGGAAGAGCTGTAGATAAGGAGCTTGTCCAGATTTCTGTTGGTACCGGCTTATGTAGGTAGCAATACTAAAACTGGCTTGGCATTTGATAGTTACTGTTTCCCCCACAGACACGGACAGAGATTCTGGAGTCTGAGTCAGAGTTCCCACAGTCTGCCCACTTGAACCTAGATGGATAGAAATGGAAAATTGGTGGTGGTAATAAGAGCAGCAAGAGGGTAATTGACCAAGGGCAGCATATATGATTCCAGGCTTTACACTGCAGCACATCTTACATGTAAAAGCAACAGGAGTTATTTAATCAGAAGTCATGCCGGAAAGTAAGAACGAATTAAATCAAATATTGCAGCATTTTATTACATTGGTTAATATTCCTGCAGACTCTTGTGCTGCTTCTTCCCATGAACCCAGAGAACCAGCAGCCAGAGAAAGTGACTCTGGGAGATCATCTTGGCAGGCGGTGGCTGGAAATGCTTGTCACTGAGCCTTGTAGGGGAAAGCGAAAAGTTTATAAGTTCTCAGCAGCTCACAGGCGAAATGTTACGTGTGTGAATATGCAAAATGTATGGAAATGTTCTGTGCTTTAGTTCCCAGGCAGAGATTTGCAGTGATTGCAGGTGGGTTCTATGTTTCGTGCTGCGTGTGCTCAGTCTCATTAGAGATGGGCATGAGCCAGAACACTGGTCTGATACCCTCTACTGCTTAGAGGATCCAGACCCTGTTCTGAACTTCTCAACTTAGGCCCCACTCTAGTTGTAATTAGTTGTAATATCTTTGTGATTCAAATACTCCTCTACCTGGAATGGGGCTTCAGTGACATCAAAGTTTAACAGGGATGAGCTGTAGGGACTGAGGTGTTTTGGAAACCAGCTAAGGTCACATTTGACCCTTCTTGTCAGTTTTAAGCATGTGCTTCTGCAGTTTCTCTCCCTGGGTCACCAAAGGAGCAGTGGATTTGAACACATGGAACAACCACTGAAAGTGTAGAATGATTTTATTTTCACCTTCCGTCATTAGAGCCCTGCAAACATTCAACTTTTTCCCCCCTTTTCCTTCCACAAAACATGATAGTGAATCCCTCGGTGTTCCTATTGGTGTGTCTTTCTGCAAAGCCTGGCATGGAAGGAAACGTGTTTTGCTGCACCTAGTTTAAATGTGACAAAGAGTCCTGTGGCACCTTATATCTAATGAAGTGGGTATTCACCCATGAAAGCTCATGCTCCAATACTTCTGTTACTCTATAAGGTGCCACAGGACTCTTTGTCGCTTTTTACAGGTCCAGACTAACACGGCTACCCGTCTGATAGTTTAAATGTGTGATTTGTCATTTGTCCTCATTGTCATGGTGACTAATGTGCATTTATTAACTTTAGAACCATATGACAAGGAGGCACATCTTCTGGAATTCATCTGTTGATAGTCATGAAAAGTCACCTTCATGCTTTGGTAGCTGATGTAGGTTCATTTAATTCTAATTATTTCTGAGACGCTTTCGCGACAGAATTGAATCCAAAGGGAAATCAATAGAGAGTTTAAAGTCCTACTCCGAGTGTGTTTAGGTAGAACAAAGGCACCTGGGTTGAAAAAAAGATGGGAAGCAGATAGTTGGTGTGGTTAGTGATATAACAGAAGTCTATCCCTGAAACATGGGTCCTCCAGGGAGGAGATTAAAGAGAGGGAATCTCAGAGGGATTCTTAACACCCTGCAGGGATGGTGTGATGTTCCCCTGGTGTTATCTGGACCAGTGATCTGTTAGGTCACTCTAATCCTGTACTCTGGGAGCCAGCCTTACCCTGCTCTGCTGTGAGAACCTCCCGTCCTGGGCTGTTCATGCACAGCCTCTGGCATGTAAGCTAAGCTGCTCCTTGGATCGTGCCACCGAATGACACTAGACAATATCTCCAGTCCCAGACACAACCCTAGGCACCTCCATCTTGCAATGTCCAGTTATGCCCACTGGACGCTGCAAGCTGATATGAGTTCATCAGTTTAATAAAGAAATGGATATGTTCCAGGCTTGTTATCCAAAGGGGAGTCTCTGACACGCTTCAAACCAAACGTGCTTCAGGTAGAATAAACAAACAAATGTATTAACTATAAAGATAGATTTTAAGCGATTATAAGTCAAATCACAACAAGTTGGATTTGGTCAAATGAAATAAAAGCAAAACACATTCTAAGCTGATCTTAACACTTTCAATGCCCTTATAAACTTAGATGCTTCCCAGCACGGGCTGGCTGGTTGCCCTTC